TGTTACTAGAAGCGATGCACTTGTTCCTAGTAGCTTCTTGTTACTACAAAGGCGCACAAGAGTTGCTTGGATGGGATCCTTGATGACCCACCAGGGTTGCTTCATCCTTCATCCTTCATCCTTCCAGCATGACACATCATCTTGGTGTGAGTTACCTTCAAATGTCCAATGCCAACTAACTAACCGGCATCATGACAGACTCATATCCACTCATACCTCACATCAATTTCCAGACTCTGGCCGCCTGGCCTGGCCGCCTGGCCGCTCACCCATTTTCTGCAGCCACCGGTGCCGTCCTGACTCCCTGTCGCAATCTGCTGCTTCGCCGGCACCAGGCGTGAACAGGCCGTAAGCCGCACATCGGGTGCTCCCTGCAGCGTTCGCAGCAAGCGAGCTTCCCCAACGTGGCCCTCCGGCTCCATGGCTGCAAACTGGTCCGCCCGGCGTGGGAAGACCTAATGAACAGTTTCTGAGAGGTGTATATAACGTGATAATGATGACCCATGAAAACCAAACATCTTGGACCATGGATCAAATGCTGCAAAACATGTATCAATATTCGGCTGATCCCCTCTGCGAGATATATTTTATATACGCGCTATATTATATTATTCCGATGTCAGGGGTCCAAGGCCAGCACAAAAAATCAACGTGAAATATGCAAGCCTCCAAGCATCAATTTCAATAAGGCACGCACCATGTCCGCTGATGTGATATAGATGTTGCTCTTGAGAATGGAGAGGCGTTGTGTGATGATTCTTGGCCAAAAGAGCAGCGCTTGTCGACATGTTCACTCGTGATTCAGCCTGGCATCCCAGGTTTGTGGCCCAGCTTGTTGAGCTTACTGGGCGCTCAACGATCCCTGCGAATCCCGGATCTTGGACTTGGTCCAGTGCAGGGATTTCATCGTTTGCCCCATGCGTCATCCCGTATCATCCCGTGCCCCGACTCCTGGCCGGCTGGCGGTTCACAAACATGCCGCATAGCAACTTTCTATATATAGATAGATCAGATATAGTAGATACTGTAGAGAGATATACCAGCACCCTCCAACAGGTGCTTCCTGGTGACAACAGGTGCCCAGAAACCACCTGTTAGGGTCTCCAAACAACCTGGCCAGGAAGGTGCTGGTAGAGCGTGAAAGCCCTTGAAGAATGTGGTCGTCATGGCGGCACCGTGTCCCCTACCAACTACTGGACCGAAACTTCTTTCTCCGGACTTGGTTTCTCTGGCGGAGTGGAAAGCAAGTGCTCGGTCTGTCCGGACAAACTGTGCGTCGTCGATCTGTTTGTTGCTTTCAGAAGTGTTTCTGTGTGTTCCACCTACGACTGACGAATGAACATTGCATAAGTATAAGTATAAACCATGATAAACCATTTCAAGGACTCATGCTGCTGTTGAACGTGAGGGTTGCCACGCGCGGGCTTCACCCTCCACCGCGGTCCACCACCGCAGGTAGTCGCTTGACACTCCTCATGCCTGGCACCATTACAGCCGGGAGTGAAGTGCGGCCACGGAATGGAATTAAAACAGCTTTTGTAAACCATGATAAACCTCCCTTAAGAAAGACTCTTGACTCAGTTCCTCATCAGGAATTCAAGAACTGTCTTCCGGGCGTAAGTCAAGAATTCTGATCTCCCATCAATCCAGTGCATGCACTTTGCAATGAGGCTCGGCAACAGTAACAGCTGGTATAGTGTGTTATACTGTACCTGTGCAGCAACTTCTCGTAAAATCTTGGCAAGCTTGCACAAGCAATACACAACTTACGCAGTAGATTAGTTGCAAACATGCGCCCAGCTGGGATGGGACATTGTAATGTTTTGGCTGGTTCCTGCCGGCTCGACTCCATCAAGCGAGCAGTGGTGTCCGGTGACATCTCGGCCGTCGTGGTCCCTGGGCGTCACGCAGCAACTCCAAATTGGATTTGCATCGCTTTTGCTCAAACCATCGCCTATATTCACTCTCATGGCAGTCATCGTAGATCAACGGTTAAGAGAAACGGTATACCCCTCCCTCCAACAAGCATGGAACTGGACAGAAAGAATTGATGTTCCGAATGCAATTCACGGTGGGTTCTTCACTCAGCATGTTTGGTCAACACCTTCCATGTTTCGGTGAGCACGTTTCGCTCCACGTGGTGAATTGTCCATCTTCTGAGGCCCCAAACGGGTCTTTGTTCGCATCGTGCACCTGGGCGAAGGCCGAAGTAGCTCAGTAGCTCGGTCCGTGACGTGAGGCAATTCACAGAGCAGTGTGAGCTATGGGGGGGAAAACAACAGTGGAATCAACAACTAAAGTACTTTCCTCATCATATGGCTGTCATGCTGGCATCCCGAGTTCTTGACCATTCCTCTGCCGCAGTGGGGTGAATGCCCACCTTGGCGTAGCACAAACTGGATCCCCAACTGGGGAGAAACGAGTCCAAATGCGCCGAGCAAATTCACATGTCTGTCACGTGGAAATAAGTGTAGTGAAGCTTGGATGAGCTCGATAGCTCCAGGTTCACCCAAGTCATGCTACCAAATTGTCTTGGACATCGCGCCTTTACAAACCTCTGACATCCGCTGACATTGGACCCTGTGCGGGTATTAGAATCATTGGAAGGGACCGCAAAGGTGAACATCAGTGTTTAGTGACGTGTAACGTGTATAATATAAACGCGTGCAGCATGAGACGCCGCATGCAAATGAAACACCGCCGCAGGCCACATCCAAACAAACCACCATCTTGGTTCACAGCTGTTGCATCAAAGTCTGCCTTGGTCGCACCAGCCTGGGCGCCGAAGGGGCTCAAACACGATGAAATGCTTCTTGTGTTCGGCACCTCCTTGGTCAAGTCATCTATGAGAGGAAGGGACATCAACATACTACCTGCTTACCTAGGAAATCACGTATATTATCCGACATATCCGATATCCAAAGCACGTTCTCTCTGAGGAGGCCGATCCCACCCGCCTTCATGGCGATGCCGATGCCCTGCATCATCTCTCCAGCTTCGGCACCCACCTGAGGGGGCAAGTGGAAGAAAACATGGATGTGGGGGGTCCCTATGTGAGCACATGCTTTATTGACATCGACATGACATGAAGTCTTATAAAATTCTAAAATAATAACATACCTGGAACTTCGTTACGGCAATAATAATTGCCGTTTTCATGAAACGTCGCCTTTTTCCGTTCTGCGGCGTTCTTCCATATTGATCTCATGGGGACGGCGTTTCTTGATGAACTGCGGCAGTTTCGGTCAGTTGACGGCAATTTTGGTCCACACATCCATGCGCCTCAAAGAGTCATTTCGTTTTAGTTTTAGTGCAGGCGAGTATGAAAACATTGTAGGGTCTTGCTTGAAAGGCAACTGAACGTAAAAGGCGTCTTATTATATCAGCAAACTCGCATAGTCATGTGAAGTGGAAAGGGCGGCTGATGGAAGTGTCACATGCTGGGTTTTCGTCGGTTTTCGCGGGTAACTCGACCTCTTGCGCGGCGTTGCAGAAGACTTTGCGTTTAAAGTTACGGCGTTCTTACCCGTACTTGCGGCGTTTTTTCCCGTACTTACGGCGTTTTTCCCCGTACTTACGGCGTTTTCCCCCTACTTACCGCGTCGTTCCCTTACCCTGTCTAGGGTCACTCAAGGTGGCAGCAAGACTTGAAACAACATGTCACAACGATCCTTTCAGCCATTGCATCATCAAAATGTGAACAACCCTGCCGTGATGTCGATCGAGACCTTAGACAAGGGCTGCAACATCTTGAGAATTGCTACCATGAGGCTTGAAAACGATGAGCTCTACTTACAAGTGAAAAAGGAGAAGCCAATTTCAGGGTATGGACGGACCAAAACAATATCCTCTTTGGTAGATCAAACAAAACGGCGATTCTTCTTTTGTGACGGCGTTTTCACTTCTCTGACGGCGTTTTCACTTTCCAGGGATTGAGCTACGGCAGAAAAAATGAGTTACGGCAAAAATTATTGCCTCAACAGCCTACGGCAAAAATTATTGCCTCGGGAGGGTCTAGGTATGATATATATATATATATTATATATGATAACCATGTGTTTCTAGAGAAGAGCCGATGATTCACGGCACCCTTTTCAACCATCAAGTTTCAAAGGTCTCCCAACTCCTGGCAGTGCCAAGCTTTCGGTGGGTCCTGCAGGTCCGACACTAGGGCGCCCCACCATGTGGCAGCCGACCACCTGTCACTGTGCTTCCGCTTGGGATGCGTGGAGGCCCCACGATGCCGTCGGCCAATTGATGAGAACAATTGCGAATCCATCGTCAAACAGCGAATTGCTGCCAAGCATAACGAATCGGAGCTGCTCAGCAGAACTGCACTTGTTTCGGATGTCCCACGGTTTGATGTGGACCACCATCGGCTGATGGAAGTGCTGGAGGGAGTCCCAAGATCTTGGCAAAATCTTCTGTTCGGTTCTGTCCACGGTATGCTGCAGCTATCTATTCCGCCAGAATCTTGCTGTTCGTCACCGGGAACTGGCAAAAGGATGCGGAACATCCCCTCAAACCGTAGAAATTTTTGAGGTGCTACCCACGAATCCTTTGGAGATCTCACAGTGTAGGCAAAAACACACACACACACAAAATGATTTTCACCATTTGAGCGCGTGCCACCAGCGGCCCCGTGTTCGCGCGTCTTGGCAAATGCCTAGGAGCCGACAAAGCTGACCGACATGGCTGAGCTGGAACCCAACATCCGAATATCTCTGAACACCATTGATCTTTCAAAAGAACATATAACATATCTACAAAATTATACAACTCGCGTCAGCTCGATGTCTTTTACCACTTCCAAAGTAAGACTATACAAACAATGGTTTCACCGACAGCAAACCTTCAAAATCCAAAAGCATCCACCGATCAAGCGGTGGATGCAGGAGCCAGTGATGATCCGTTGCTTCCTAATGTGGCCCAATGGGGGCGAACCCAATGACCAATCATCTGCCCAGATGCGAGGCCAGGCATCTTCGGGCACCTGCAAACCGGGGCCCAAACGAAACTGGCAGGACATCCCACTGACTAAAGGAGGTGTTTGAGTTGATCTAGCCGGCCATGGCTACAGCAGCATCTCAGTTACCATGGCAATGAATCCACATGTATCAAATTCGTGTTCCAGGGGGCCAATTGTCCAAGCCACTGGATACCACTGGTCTGGGTCTGGGTCCTACTACTGCCATTCTCCCACAAGATCGGGGCTTCGCTCTCCACCACCTCCCAGCTACCCTCGGGCGCGCCACGCACGCCGACCTTCCCGGCATAGCTGAAGATCTGCCCGATGTGCTCCGCCCGTAGCGGGGCCACCGAGAGCTGCGCGAGGCGACAAAGGCTCGGCACCGACAGCTCACTCCAGCCTGTCACCTGTTGCCTGCGGCTGCCGGGGAGGTCATGGGAGGGGGGGCAAACACCCCCCCAACAAAAGCCCGGTAACTGGAAACCCCGTAGTTTTGGAAGCGCACCAAGGCCAAAGTCAGTTTGTGAGTGATTGCATGAGAGCCTCTGCAGGAGTTGGCATGCTTAAAACTTAAAACTTCTGAGATCTCAGCGAGACAATGAATTCAAGAACCACCTGCAGCCCTGCACCAATTGTAGAGATCTCAATGCAAACATCCGGTGTCTTGATGGCTTGATGATCAAGTTGTGATCCCGAACCCTCCCTTCATTACACTTGCAATCACACCGAAAAACGCACCCCAAAACCGCCGAACCCCCCCAAAACAGGCCAGGCACCGCGCATACTCCTCCAGCGCCGAAAGCAGCTGGGCACTGAAGCGCTGCACGTGCTCGACGCAGCGAAACCTCTCAGCCTTCAAACGATGAAAGGCTTCGGACATGGCATCGTACCAGACCTCATCGGCTGCACCCGTCCTCCGGTCTCCGGCCCGGAACCGGGTAGCCCGCTGCCTGGTGGGGACCGGTGGGAGGAGCCCCAGTGTCGGCCTAGCATGGCCCAGAGACCTCATCCTCATGGTTTGTACTATTGGCCACCCAGGATCAATGACATGGCCAGCGTGCAAGGATCCAGGTATGTCATATATGTCTTACAATGTGTTAAGAATACAAATTCCATGTCACTGGCACATTGTATAACTCAACGGCAAGATTCAGAATCCAAGGGAACGAGGACTCTTGGAAGAGAGGTACGTTGGCACGTCCTACCTCCCCCTGGCATGCGATCTTGGCAACATCGACGGCGGGTTACTTACAGTAGATTTACTTAGTACACATATGCGCGGCCAGGTTGCACCTGCGTCCAGGTGTGAGGTGTAAGATGGTGTAAGTGCATATGTCTGCTGAGCACACAGAACACCCAAAATAATTTGCTTTCTTTCCCGTGCAGCCAACCACCACCTTCAAGGTCCAAGAAAAAAACACGGGGTCGTCCTTTCTCTCAACCCGCTGTTGGCACTAGTAATTACATAAAGTGTTTAGTGAGTTAAACAGAATCCAAACCAGGAAAGATCCTCAAACGGAAAGGGTACTCCGTTGCAGAGGACCACATGGAACCCCCAAAACCACGCCCGGTATGGTATTCGGAGCATGGTCGAAAGCACCGGTCTTCCTTCTCAGGTTCCATGGGATCGTTTGCGGGGGGTATGTTTGCAAGTTCACATCACCTCATGGTGCCAACCAAACCACACGGCCCAAGTGGCCCATCTTGGATCGGCACGCTGCAGGCCGTGGCACAGCAAATCCGCTGACTCATTCCTGGACGGCAGCCAAATGGTGGAAAGGGCATATCGATGAATTGAAGAATTACTTCATTGTGCGTGTGTCGGTGAAATGAAGAATGACTTACATAACTTACATTGTGTGTGTGTGTGTTTTTGGGATGCGCTTCTTGATTTTCTTGGTCAAGAGAATTTCTTCGGACGTGGGGAATGGCTTGGTTGACTGCATTCGTAGATGCCATCGGAATACGTGGGGCAGTGTTGCACCACTGACGTGCTGGAAGACTACGCCTTGGGGCATTGGAAGCCTTGGACAAGACATCCTCTAAGAGAGAATCGAAAAGAACTTCGTGGGTTTGAATAACGCAAGCAAGGGTGGAACTTGGGATTCTTGCAACGTCGATGAAATTGTCTCCCGTTTGCCTACCGCAGTATGCCCCACGTATGCCATAGTCAAGCATCTGGTAGGCTGACACAAAGTCCGCCAGGCAACCAGAGTATCCAGCGTCATCCTCCAGCACCCAAACCTTACAGCATGACATGGGTGAAAGGTGGGCACGGGGGCGATCGGGCCATCTCCGATTTGGAGAATGGCCAAAACCACCGATTCGAAGCCAAACAGTGTCGCGATTTCCCCAGAAGTCCAAGAAAAGCCACAGCAAAATAGCAGTCGGTTCAGTGTTGAAGCCACCTGGCAAACCCCCAAGAACCTCTACATGGATCCTCCAGAAGCTTGGTCTTCTAGACGTTTTAACAGTTAGCCCTTTGACACCACGTCGGAGACGGAGACCTCTGACAGGGCAAGGCCTTGGCGGCAGGGCCTCCCCGGAGAAACAATGGCGAGGGCTTGGCCAGGACAAGGAGCAAACTTTGGTTTGGAGCTGGCAGCTATAGAGCCTCAGCAGCTCTTAGAGCCCATGGGCTCCATGCGAAGCACACGCCACACAAAAACGCCGTGGAACGCGGTGGGAAAAGAACCCAGAAAAACCTGGCACGATCTGAGAGATGACCTCATTGTTATCAAAACCATTCAAAGCCTGTACAAAATATGCCGGTCGATCCAGAACGACACACTTTGTGATCATGTGGTTCTTGCACCTCTCATTCCCACCTTTTTTCTTGCGACTGAGACCTTCCCACAGGTTTTTTTTGTTTATGTTTGTTTACTCTTCAAACACCTCCTGTCTCGGCTCGAGAAGCGCCACCACAGGAGAAGCGATTCAACGTGGAAGCACCAAGCCAAACTTTTCCGGCACGGTAGCTGGAAGCAATCCCATACCTGTTACAGGACTGAAAGTGAGCTGTGAGCTTGCTCTGCCACGCTGTGCAGCTCGGCCCGGTTTCAAGGGGGTTCGGCGCAAAACGTTGCTTGCATTTTTGGAGAATCCAAGAGGTCCTCTAGGAGAGCAGTTACACTCGATCTGATATCAAAGTGGGGCTTTGCTGCGGGCTTCTCTCTCACACACACAAACATGGTGACTATGCCAAGTACATACCATTATATGCCGAACAAATTGTTTTCAAGTTTGAAACCCTACTCAACTTTGAAACAGTATGTGTTATCTTTGTGGGGGGGAAATGTTTACTTAAGTGTATGTGTCACAATATATCATGTATACCATGTTCACTGTATCCATACTACCATACTGTCAAGTCCAGGTCCCGAAAGAATAGGATCCTCCAGTCGCAGGGCTCCCTGAATGGTGAAGCTAGAGCTCAAGTGAACCCAGGTACCCGGACCCCGCACCCCCAGAAATTCATTTACATGGAGCACTGGAACACATCGCATGTTTCATCCCAAACTGCTCTGGGAGGTTCGCCTCCTGCCGGTCCGGGAGCGCATCGCGGATGGCCAGCAGGGCAGGGAATGCCTGGGTCATCTGGGATTCGTCGTAGCCAAAGACCTCAAAACAACCATGAGGGCTGGGGCGATCGAGGACCACAAGCGACACAACCAAAACTTGCTATTAGAAACAACTAATGAACAAGTTGAACTCTGTATTTTAACAGTTAACAATAACAATTGAATTGCACAGTTCATAGAGAAGATCGAATAAGAGCAACGTCTGGAAGACTTCGAACACAAGTCTTGCTGTACGATCCTGTAGGTCTGTTTAAAGTGGTTTTGTACGTCGTGAGGACATGAAGTTGGTATCAAGGCTTCGCGCATCAGATCAGAAACAAGGCTCTTCAAATTGCCAGCATCCAGTCTTCAAGCTGTTAGTGTAGGTGGCGGAGGGGAAATTAGACCATCGAACAAATATTTATCGACTGCTCACCTGCTGCTACTGTCCTTCACCTCCAGCCCGCCCGCCCGCTTTTCAACATAATAAAGGACCGGTTCACCTTTCTGCCTTTCGGAAAGCAACCAAACCCATTGGGAACTCATGGGAAGCCAAGTGCTGAACTCAGTCTGGCATGTCTCAGAATGTGGCATTGCTCTTCCACGCCCAAGGCACTGAGAATGGAATCTCGTGTCCTCCAAAGCTCGCTGCACCTGAATATCCATGGCTCTGCAGGTCTCAATCAGTCTTGGTTTGTGCTTCTTGTCACTAGTAGCGATGCCCTTTATTACCAGTAGCTTCTTGTTCCTAGTTGTAATGCCAGGAGCTACTAGTAGCTTCTTGTTACTAGTAGCGGGGATGCTTGTACAAGTTGGCGCCAGAATCTCCCTACAACAAGGCCCTGACGCTGTCATTCCAAGTTCTCCAAAAACAAAAAACAACAACAAAAATGGGAAACCTCAAGTCCTGCTTTGCACACTACTACGTATAGTTCAGCCTTCCTCCCAATCTCGGCGACTTAAAATTTCTACCTGCCATATCCAGCTGATCTGTCACGGACACGCAGCCGGATAAAGCCTGTATATACAGTAATTATAGTCCTTAGGCCGGCTCTCCTCGCTAGCTAACTCGTCGCCCCAAATGCTGGCTGACTTGGTTCTTGGGATATATTTTGGGATCACTCGCTGAGCCCCATCAACTAACCTCCTGGGCACCGAGTTTGCCGCTCCCAGATTGGCCAAGGTGCTCTGCAGGCGTGATCGAAGGCTAGGGCCTGCAAGAACTGCTGTGACATATAACCCGTGAGTTTTAAGCCGTAAACAGAAACAGGTGCCAGAACAATCTCTAAAACGGCACCAATAGATCCCGATGCCGATAACTATCCCGTTGGTTTACAGTCTTGACATCTTGTATTACTATTTCAATAGGTTGTCGATGGTTGTCGCATCATTTTCCGACCAAACATTACCAAACAACCCGCCTTCGAAGGTCTCATCAGCCAAAATCCACAGTTCCACTGCCTAGGCCATCGGCTTGAATGGTCATCTTCAAATGCCCTGATATCCACCATAATCTTCGCTTTCTCTGGAAACCCAGGCTGGGAACATCAAAAACATCCAGGCTTATCGCCTAAACCTGGCCGAACTACACATCCCAACCTTGTAGCCATGAAACAAGCATTCATCGCTTTGGCAATGTACCCCAGCATTGACAATATGCTTCGGACTCCTTCAAACCAACCAATTTAGCTACCACTCACAGTAGTTGTTTGATGTCTGAAAGGGACTTGGAATGACTTGGATGTCTGAAAATGTCCCGCCAGCAGCAGCCAAACATTGCTTCAATATATGCTTCAATGTCCGCTGTCATTGACGAGATTGGTCGTCTTTGGCTCTGCATGCGTCCTCGAAAATCCTCGAATTTCTGATCCAAAATAATCGACCTCCTCCACTTGCAGGCCATGTCGCTGGACTTCTCTGAGCCAACTCATGGGACCAGCTGAGATGCCGCTGCAGCATCTGCTCGGTGGTGCCGCGCGACACGCGCACCACGACCACGGTGCGGCCGCCTCGCAGCGGTTAGTTTGCCGTGCGCAGCGGTGGCACCGCTAAGTGGGTGTTGGGATAGGGCGGCCAGGGTGAGGTGTGTTTGTGTAGGTTCTTGGGTTGGCTTCTCAAGACCCATGGATGGTTTGTAGGCTGCAAGAGCTAGTTGCGCTAGCTAGTTTCATCTAGTTTCCTCACAAAGCAAAATAGCGATACAGCAAAGTTATCCTACCAATGTACGTATCAGAACCCCCCGGAAATGCATACGCTACATCTGCGCACCCTCCATCAACGTGTGCACCCAGCTCCCAGCTCGGTTCATTGGAAAGGAGACGCCCACATGCACATCTCGTAAGTGACGAGCACCGCCGGAAGATGTGTTCCGGGGACTTTCCTGGCACTTGGACTCACCTTGTAGCTGGAGTCTTTCGTGCCCACCTCAACCTAGTGAGTGTTCCAAGGAGGCAGCACATCCCACTTGGACACGTAAGTCGCTCCTTGTCTGGGCACGCCACCAATCCCAAAGGAGGCACCACCTCCTTTTCTGGGCACCACATCCTTCCATTGGAACCTCCGCATACCACGTAAGTCTCACCCCGCCTGCGTGGGGCGCACAGGACCGACTCGCCGGACTCGTCGCCTCGTCGCGCGCGTCGACGGACCTCCGCCTGCGAAGGGAAGACGCCGCACTCGGGCGATCGAAGGAGTCCATATAGGAAAGGCACATGTTTCGCAGATGTCCGAGTTTAGCACAATATGTCCTTCTTAACGATATGTGACAAACGCATACATGTTCCTTCTCAAGGTTTTGAAGGTTTTGAGTTTCGCATATGTTCGCTTTCTCCTAGGCGGCACATTCCCAACACAGTCCGACGGGGGTCATAGCCACAGCCATCAGCAAGCTGATTGGCCCCTCGGTCAGGTCATCCATTCTAGGTGTGTCTGTCGCATCACTCCAAGGGTCTTCCAAACCATCCAACCTTGCCCGGAACCGGAAGCTGACCCCCTTCAAACATGCAAAGGACATGCAGACGTCGTTTCTGATTGTGAAACACCACTCCCTTATTTTGAGACCGTACAGGTACGCAGCCCAGTGGGAGCCTGGGGGTATTCTAAGGCGATTGGCCGTGTGGAGCCTCTCTTCTTTCCTGTTGTTTGAGTCTTTATGTGCTGCCTCAACTGCGCCCAGTGCGCCCTTCGATTGGCCCAGCAGGCCGCAGGCGCAGCAGGCATGAGGCACACACGAAGCAGCGCTACATGGCTAGCACGAGTGAAAAGGATCCATTCTCCAAACAACTATTGAGGTATGGGCTGGGTCGAAATTTCCCGTCCTTCGAAGTTCGAAGAGGATTGCGGTGGGTGGACGCGCGAGCAGCACTGGTTTGGGCATCCGTGACAAACACCAGATCTGGGATTGGCATGGATTGGCTGGAAATAGAGGCAGTATGAGGCAGTAACATGCGTCACCCTTTGGCGGTGCTGTATGCACATTGTATGACAAGTGAGCCACACGCAGGGCTTGCAGGGAAGAAGGGGACGAATTGAGCATCAAGGCCGCAAGGCCCATGCCACCAATCGATACGTGCGCACACGTCCACCCGACGGCCCTTCCCTGAAACAGGTTGGTTGACCAAACATGAACCGATTCCGATGTTTCGGCCATGTCAATCTGGCTTGGTTGGGGGAGGTGCCCTGACTCACATTCTAGTTTCATCGATGCTGAAGCAACCAAGTGCCAACTCTATGCCCAGCCATGCCTCCGAACCGTTGTCACACTTCTTGACGGTCGGACGACGATGCTTCAATCCAGACCTCACTTCGATTCCGCCGGATTCTGTTCTCCTGCTTGGTGCAGCTGCTTGACCCTAGTTCATCCTAGAACCCCACGGGGTGGTCTCTGGCAAAAAGCATCAGTTCATATCAGTTCTTGGTTCTCCCAGCCCATTGATTCAGTCTCCACTTCGGGGATCGATCACCCAAGCCATCGGTAGGCCGAATCGAGCAAGTCGCGAGCACAGAAACCCCAGGCCTTGCCCGCGTGTTCAAAGCCCTCGCTGACGCAAATGAGCTTCATCATCATCTTCTCCTCACAGCTGGCGGTTCGCAGTTCTTAAGTCTTAACTGGTCGGCTGCTTCACGGTGAAACTCGAGGGGAAGGCCACCACGAACGACTAAAGCAAGCTGATCAACCACGATGGGGGTTTCGCATAGACCTTGCGGGGTCGGTCGTGCATTGATATCAGTTCGGCTCGGCAAATCTCAGTGCAAAGGGTCCAAAGGAAGCTTCCCTGTTAAGTTCACCGCCCTGTGACCCCCTGTTGAGTCGATTGTTTCGACAGGTGTCAGGCAGGACTTGGACCTCAGAGTTTGCACAACTAGGAGGATGGTGAGGCAACATCGATCTAGATCCATGTAGAACAATAGAACAATTCAAGTTTTGGAGGAACTAAGCTAACTAAGCCACCAAACCAGCGCCAAAGGACCAAGGTTTCGATTAAATGGAAGAATTGTGTTAGCCTTCTTCCACATGTACAAGTAGGACCCAAACAAGCGAAAGGGAACGTCTATGGAGCCATATGGGTTCCGAAGTGCGCTAAAAAGTTTTGACGAAGGACTTTATTTAATAAAATCCTTTCGAGCTGAGGTCATTCCCTTAATTTTTCTATGTGCCAACGTTGGCAGCCAAAAAAAAAAGGCTAGCTTTTGAGCATTTATGGAATCCCGCGCCAACGTGTTTTATGGAATCCTGTACCAAGGTTGCAGGAGCTAATGACTAACAAACATATTGGCGTATTAAATTCTTGGTTAGGGGGGTTGCCAAGCGAAGGTTCTGGTTCTTTTTCAGCGTATGCTCTCAGTCGCCTTGCTGGGGCAGAGTGCTGACATGATTCTTCAGAATCGGGCCATGCTTAAGTCTATTGTAAATTTTGGTTTGTTTGTCCTTCATGCGCGTGCATTGCTTGTTTGTGACCATAAGATCAAAACTAAAGGTCAAAAGCCAACCAGTTGTTATGCCAGGCCCACTCCCGAAGCACTCAACCACCTACGGCTGCCACTCTTGGCTGGGACGCGTGAAATCTCAACAGGTAGAGTGCAGGCATGATTCCTCAGAATCTGGCCGCGTTTGAAGCTATGCTTGTGTTCTTCCGAGTCCTCGATTTATGTGTCTGTATTGCTTGTTTGCAAAACTAAGAGCAAAACCCAAGGTCGAAAGCTAGTGAATCGAAACCAAAGTGCTTTGTCTGCTTGACTTTTTGATCGGGCTTGAGGGCGAATGTGATAGGTGGGGTTTCGTCACCTTTGTTGAGAACCAACCGTACAAGTGCCCTTGCCATGCGGTTTGCATGTGCGATTCCTCCGAGGACCAACGTTGCATTTGCCGACTGTCAGCGAACGGTGCCACTGTTTTCATCTATTCTCCGTTCTTTCGTGAAACTGGCGCCCTAGAAGCGCGAGAATCTTTTGCTCGTCAACCGTCGCCCTTGAGGATCTGAGAGGTTTGTCGGCGCGGTCAAACCTGTCACGTTTGGAGTTCTTGAAGTATGTATCCCCAGAACCTACAGCTACAGCAGTGGCCCTCGTTCAAAACATAGCAGAACAAATGAAAATGAAATCCTGGCCTTGACCTAACTCTATAAAGCAAAAAACAGCAAACAAACAGTTATAAAATCCTGTCATTAACATGTTCATGAGGGTCAAAAGTCCCTAGGATGTTTTTTTCAACGCGTCTTATTTTGTCCTGCACCAACATCTTGCACCAACATCCTGCACCAACATTTGTTTTTTTTGGAATCCTGTGACTGGGTCCGGTACAAGAAAATTTATAAATAATTAATTGTCCTTGACCTCTGGGAAAAAAGTATGGACTATCAATCCCATATGGAGTCATGGAAAGTTATATATTACAAATTATATTCTATTACCAGAAAGTTGTCCTCCGTCAGAGTTAGAGACTTGCTTTGTCTTGAATTGACCCCTGCGTGCGTGTGGTTGTCCTCGGCTGAGGCTAGTCTTCCCAAGCAGAATATCCCTCGACTGACCACTCTGTCTCCACTTTTCTGCTCTCATGCGTCGGCTTTGGTCTGACTCGTGGAAACTACACCGCTGTAGATTCGTGGGCCTCCCTCCGTCTGGCTCACGGCCATCATTCCCATGCTTGTCATGGGGCAGCCGCCTCCACCGCCTGAGAAACCCCCCCGGCGGAGCTGAAGGAAACACGGGTTTGGATGGTTTTGATCTCCGGCAGGTAAGGTTTGGTGCGAAGCATGACTCTTTGAACCAAGAGCCCTGAAGGGGACTCAGCAATTGCGAAGGGAAAAAGGTGTTGATCTCAAGTCCACCAAGGAGGCCCAAAAAGGTAGGGACCGATTTGGTTCCATGTTCCTCCATTGAAGTCGTTGGATCGCGTTGGTGGCCAAAATGGCGGAGCTTCCGGATCAACATTTATCAACAGGCCAGGCGTCACCATCGAAAACACAGACTTGCACTGCACTGAGGCGTGGTGGGGGTGACGACCCGGCGAGGCTCCTGGTGGCATACGTCATGACCCGAATAGTTCGACCGCGCCTGGGTGCCGGCTGAACTTGGGCGCACCCAGCGCGCTCATGCGCTGCAACTCCTCCTCCTCGCTGTACAGGTGCTTCGGGCGCACGGGGAAGCCATGCCTGCAAGGGCAAGCCAATCGCAAACAACGTAAAGGCTGCCTGCTTGAGGCTCTCCCCCCCAAAGCGCCCAAACATTACTTCCCAACATGTCCCCGAACCCTGTTACCGTTTGACGAAGCAAAACCATGTCACTTCAGTTCGATCTTCATGTGTCTTATGCCCTCCACTTCATCCGTTTGTCGGCCAGTCGGCCGTTGGTTCCGGACCGACCACCCCGGTCCACATGGCCCGGTTTGTAGAGGAACATCGTCTTCCAGTCTGGTCCATTTCCAGGGTGTAGTGCAGGGTAGTCCGGGTCCTGGTAGAAATTACGGAGAAAAGCGGTGTTATGATGTGGGTGAGATTGGAGAAAAACGGTGGTGGGTTATCTATGGTTCCCTCTCGACGGATCTACTGCATGATGATTGATGATAGTCCGTAAAAAAATCCCGCAAGTACTACTTCAGGGACAAAAATATGTCAAGTAGTCCCATCTCCGCAGGTTGTGCTGGCTCAAAAAATCACCAAGTTTGCCAAGGAGCTCGTCTAAGCAGGGGTTCCGCCGCTGATTGCCTTCAGGCAGGTTGCCTCATAGACACCGCGAAGATACGCGAAGCATCCGTTCGAAGCAGCAAAGGCTTGCTAAAGATAATGTACTGGTCTTACATTAGCGGGTCGACGGTCGAAATGGCTTCAGGCAGCTTCCAACTAAGAATTAAAGAGCCCGGAGTTTCATCAAGTGAAACATGATATCAAGTAATATTATATATTATATATGATCATCATCGAATCGTCGAGTAATAGCGGAACAACTAACTACATACAAGCACACGACCCCACAAAAATAATAGAACATCATAATAGAACTTAAGATTATAGGATAGTAAAAACATGTGAAAACCATCTGGTGATGTCCTGCTAGGGCTATTTACCGGGTAAAATTTACCGTTTATCCAACGTCCTCTGATCCGTCCTCCGATCCGCTCTGCACAAATGTTGAAGCCATGTGTCTTCAAGGCCGACCAACAGGGCCCTGCTATGGGTTCCACAGCATTTCACAGGAAAAATCGCTCAACAAGAGCTGAGAGGCCGTAGGTATTCATCTGCGGCGGCTCGGGTAGCTTGGACCCCACTTTGGCCCCAGCGCTCAGCAGCACTTTCTCGATGCCGGGATGCCTCACCAAGTCTGGTCCAAGGAAGTTCATTCTTCAGTTCTGTCCAAGGAAACCCCTTCAAAGAGAAAAAGAATAAGCCTTTTGGGCTACGGATGGGGATGGCATGAAGTCATCTACAAACAAAAACGATAGATCCGATATGATAGGTGTACAAGAAGCAAGACTTGCGGCAGCAGGTGCTTTACCTGATAGTTTGCTGGTGAATGGCATCGAGCTTACACCGGTGAGCAAAAATTAGATGTCTTTTCTTGAAGAGTATGGCCGGTGGGGCAACTGAAGGTCTGATGACCACCCTTTTGAACTTCTTGGGTCATCAATTAGTGGTCCTTTTGCTACATCTCTCCCGCCGCCCGCTCCAGCGGTCGTCCAGCCTGGGCTGCTTGTGCTTCTGCGGATCCCTTTCGGAAGGAAGCGTTTCCTCACGTGCGCAGCGAGCTGCACCCACGTGGCTTTCGCCGCCATCACGGGCCACTCGGTTCTTCAAAGATTCACCGCCCTGCAGTTTCATTGAGCAGTGTTAGACTCTACCCCTGGCTGTTGACGGTGTACACACCAAAAAATTGTAAAAAAACACATATACATATAAACTAGACCTCCAAACATGTTGAAGCTTTAATGCTCAAGAACCACCTGACAGAATGAAGTACTGAAGTACCTCTTCCCAGAAAACCTAAAGCAACGAACACTACCCGCGGTACTGAACATGAACACATACACGCTAAACATATTATCGGGAGGCAATAAGTAAGGCAAGCAAAAAGAACTATAGCCTCAGCCAAGTACAGTATAGATAAGTATTGCAACTAACTTGGGTCAGGAAGGAAAGGCAAACATCTAGAAAGGGACATGTCACAGTGATTCTCAAGCCAACCTGTTCTCCACTGATTGTATCTGATTCAATGGGTAATCCCCTACACTTGACATTGAGATCTCTGGAGAACTTTGGGGGGGCTACCCCAGCTGCATTGAAGTGGCCCCAGCTCTGGCAATGTCCAGCGCCGACCAGTAGCTGTAGGGCCCACTGGAGGTACAGCAGCAACACACCTCGTTGACATTGGCCCGGGCCTCCAAAAGGACCTGGACGCTGCCCACAGCCCACACCCCAGTCCAACAGAAAGTTCGAGCGGTGGTAGGTGATGTATTGATATGAAAGGCCTACCAGGTCTACCAGATCTTAGCCAATTTCAGTGGGTTCGCCGTGGAGCCCCAGGGATGTGAATTTGCCTGACTTTCACCACCATCATACGCCTGGAGGTTCTCTCTAGAAAGGCATAGCAGCATACCCAAAAGTCAGGTTTCGAGTCTACACACCACTCAGTCTCCATCCCCAGCTACACCCACCCAGCCTGAACCACCTCGTCGTGCCCAGCAAAGACCGCCGCAGTCAAGGGAGTCCAATCAGTGCAGAACATCCGGGAGGAGCCTCCGGACCCCGTCCCCGACGAACGGTCCGGAGCCGGGTCTGACCCGGAGGATTCCTTGACGGTCCACCGTCACAGCGCCGGGATCGATGGCCGAGACCGAGGAAGGAACCACTTTTTGGGTGTTGGAAGGAAAATGCCATGCACATCATTCGTGTATGCAACATGTATTCTCCAGGTTGTGCAACACATAAGAGATTGGTTGACATGATTTACAGTAAACATATACCATCATATACAACACAATATAGGTCTGACATGGTCTGACACAGGTCCATTGGGCAACCTGCTCTTTCAAGAATTGGAGATGATATAAGATAGATTCAAACCTCATGGCTCTCAAGTAAATAGTCCGTAGCCAACGGGTGTGTCTCAAAGTAGGGTTTCGCAAACAGTAGTTAAAGCACTCAAGAAAGACATTGGATGTAATTAGGTTCTGGTCTATTTGGGGTTCAATTGGAGATGCGCGTTAAACATATGTTGCAATTATCTTGCATGTTTGATTGGCCGACATGAAATGAAATGCGTGTTAGTTAATTTGCTGCCTAAGGTAAAATTTGCTGGCACAAGCCTGCACTAGATGTCTGGTCGTAGTGTTTGAATGCCTTGGCCAGAAAAGCACAGCCAGGACAGTTCAACATGAACATGACATGTCTTTTTCAGTGTGTCATGCTCCATTCTGATCGAGGGGAGACAAATAAAGCCTATTGGGCCGCTCATATTTTAACACTGAACTGGTTTCAAAGAAGAAACACGGTACATCCCACATTCTTCCACCAACACGCTTCTACCAAAATTCTTGGCTCTGCAAGTGGGGCCAAGAGTTGGGTTGAAAAGGTTGCTAAGTGACTCATCATCCACGGATTTCAACAATTATCTCCATTAAATGTCTCCAGCTGCACCTGGTCCCATCCTGCAGTTCGTATGAAAAGAATGTGTCTCGCTCTTAGAATCTTAGAATGGTCTTGGATGTCCCAACGCCTGGGTAGAGCCGGAACTCACTCGCGTACACATTCACCTCGACGCCTGTCGAGGGCGCAAAAGCATGTGTCAAGTCTGTTTGCAGCTTGCAGTGCACAGGACCCAAGCACACAAAGGTACTCCGAGAACCCTAAAGTTTACGCTTCTTACTCTGTTCCAACATGACACTTGGCGGTCTACAGCGGATGGGATTGACACGTCCATTTTGCCAGGTACAGCACGGTCAGATTTCCACACCCGGTTAAATCTATATAAGGCTTTCAGGCGTGGAACTCTGACCGCGGCGTCGACATGTTGCACGTAGGAGGGACAAGGGGAAAGGGTTTAGTCCTGTTTTAGAAGTTAAGAAGCGCAACTTCCGGCACCCGTGTTTTCAAAACCATATATAACCATGCACCTAAACCTTGAGACCAACCGAAAGCGATCTACTCGCAAAGAAACTAGTTCGAACACTTCCTGGTCTGCCATCCTACAAGGTTCAATTAGTTTCCTGCAGGTGTTTCTACCACAGGACAGGCAGAACCTGATTGAAGAAGGAGAGGGGATGCGTATGGATGTGTCATTGTGACCTTAACTCCTACACCTCCATCACCTCGGATCTGCTCCACTACGCGTGCTCCTGGATCCCCTCGTCAGTCTCCACCCTCCTCCCGCGGGGTCGTTCGACGGATCCTGCACGGGGTGCCGCCTCGCTGCAGCAGCGCCTTCAGCTCCAGGGCCGAGCCCTCTTCCGCCCGCCGCAGCAGGTCCAGCTGATCGACGCGGCCTGGCACCGGTGGGATGGGCGCATGGTCTTACCGGCGGGTTGATACCAAGGGGCCGAAGGCCGCCGAGGTGAGATACAGTAGATATAAAGGATAACTCAGACTGTGTGTAGCTTTTTGTATGCCCTTAGTGGACAACGGCTGTGGGCAGTGAATGCGGCCCACAAGTGCCACGTGTTCAAGTGAGATGTTTTTGGGCAACTCAACACACAAGCTTGCCAGTTGGTGTGTCTGGCGAAACCACACGCGTGCAGCTCGGCTGAGGCACGACTTGGGCGTTCTTCTTGCTGAAAGAAAATTGGCTTGACGTGGCTTGACCATGAATCAAGCAGATTGGCGTCCCTTCGATCGGACGTGTGGGCCATGTTAATCATCTTACTTTGAATCACCAGTCACGATCCAAGGCAACACCACGGGCTCTTAACCTGCCTCCGGTGCCTGTGGGCTCGTCCCGCTTCACCGGGTGCTGCTCTGCATAGCCACCCACTCCGGGCAGCTTGCTGACGGGAGCTCCACTCCGCCCTGAAGCAGGGACTGGGAGGTTGATGGAGGTTGGTGCTCGGCAGGAGGCCGTTGGCTTGACTCCAGAAACACCCACCCGGTCTGTGAAACGCGCGGCAGGCAAACACGCGCGGCAAACCCAACCTGGGCAAAGAAGTCCAAAAAGGGCAGCTCTAGGAAGGTGCTACCCGACCCCCCAAAAATGACTCATATCACCCATGCGCTTGAAATCGATCCATTTGTAAACAACGGGAGATCAATCCCAGGCAGATGCAGGCGGAATTCATCCCACCCGCCTGCACTGGGCTCTGGCGTGGACACGTCAGGCGTGGCTTCATCAAGCTCCCAGGGGAGCTTGGGGCCATCGGCCGTGAGGATGTAGGACATGAAGCTCTTGTGGGATGCGAGGGTTGAAGGTTCAAGCTCTTTTTTGATTGAACCTTTTTTGGTGTGGGACAACGTGCCTTTCTTTGGTGAAACCAAGGAAGCCTTGAAGAGAAAAAGGACAGGCTTCAACAGCTCTAAGGTCGCTCAAAGGGACTGAAACAAATCCAATCTGAAGGTTTCCTTCAGTTGGAAACAGAATGGTTTGAACAACCCTATTCTGGGACATCTGCATATTCGATCTGTTGGTGCCGTTCGGCGCAGGTGTTCATGTACAACCCGTCAACCTGTTCCCTGTTCCTCCTTTGGCTCATGGACCCAAACTTCGCATTCTATGTCAAGACCTAGCTGCTAGCCGCTAGCCTAGCTTCTCACCCGCTGGGCCTCGACCAAGCAACTCCCGATGCCGTGGCGCCACCGATCCACAGACCGGGCACGTCTACCAGACTGGGTGAACAATGAACCGACCGGTTTGACCAGCTCTGCCACATTGCTGGGACAATTAACGACAAGCTCTTCCCTTGCACAAGTCATTTCAGTCTTCGAGTCTTTCGAGTCGATGTTGCCCCATGCCCCTTTTGGACGTTTTGGTCAGAAACCGCCTGCCTGAACTGAGCCTGGCTGCTCTGGATCCACAAACCTTTTCTTCACCAAAGGCATCAAATGCAAACTCGTTGAAAAAACACCCAGGAACGAACATAATAATAACTTATTCCTATTCCTCTGTTGTTGCCTCTTAGTGAACTGACACAATGGCCATGGTTCAGCCAAAGCATATGGCAATATGCCGTGCCTCAAACTCAGGGGCAAAGACATCCTTACTCAAAACTCATACACGCACAGGTCAGGGAACTTTCAGCGTTTTTCCGTGCAGGGGAGGGCGATCGGCGACCCCCACCCAACTCCCGACCTTGCCCCCAAATCATGCTCGCTCAAAAAAACCATCTTGGCAGGCCTTCTGACTCTCCCTCTCTTGGATTCATCCTCCACTTTAAGGTGACCAAATCTGGACGCAAGCCTTCCCTACTGTCTCCTCTTCCCCACGGCCAGTCGGCATGGTGTGCTTCATGGGCTTGAACCTCAGCTAGGCTCGAGAAGTTCGACCACAATGGCAAACTTGTGCCAAGCAGGATGAACGCACAATTGTCACAACCGGCCAATCATCGCAGCCAACCACTGAATGAACCCCAAAGTGATCATATCACCACAGCATGCACGAGTCTTGGGACTCTTGCTCAGCCTCTGCACTGAGCCACCGTACTTCGTGACATACACATCCACGCTGCCATACTTCTTTGCCGCCGCCTCCTGCCAAGCAGCTGGTGACCAAACGCATGCGGATCATATGAATGTGAGAACAATATGGAACAATCTCCCCCGGGTTCCAAACATCGAAATAGCCGTAGCTAGCAGCAAGCAATGATGTAGCTCGAGGCTCTAGCCGGAGGATGATTGGCCCATATTGGCCCCTTTGGTGGATAAGCTGTCTAATCCGCTGACTATGAACTCAACATCCCTCGCCAGCTCCCTCGGCCTCGGTGAGGCCGCACGTGCCACAGGGCGGCTGGCTGAAGATCGCACCTGGCAGGGCGAGGGCGAAAGGGAAAAAAGCCATGGATGGGTCTTAGGGTGTGGGGTTCCAACGGCCCATGGCTTGTGTGGGGACTTGAGGTGATGGCGACCTGCAAGGTCTCATGGGTCAAGTGGCCGATACTTGGATTGGCCGCCTTCATTCTTCACTATAACCAGCATTGCGCTGTCTTGACTGACCAAAGGGTTTTCCCTGTTGTATGGTGCGGACTTTCCAAGTGTGCTTGCTCAAATGAGTTGGTCTCCCAATTCTGGAATTACAATCTATCCAATTCATGGAAATGGATGGCTCGCTGGAAGGCTACGCGACAAGCATTGAGAGCTTTCAACAATTCTGGGAGGTCTATGATTTCACTGCACGGCTTCGCCATCCCTTCGTTGCGCTGGACCGGAAAATGTTGCCGGCACTGAGGCGAGGCACTGGGCACGTTCTCGTAATCTGGCTTTCCAGGCTCCTGGCACACGCAGCTTGCTTCAAAACAAGCACGAACATCGTATCATTGCAATAGGTTTGGGATGCCCATTGTAATTACACTCCTGGAAGCGAAAAAAAACAAGTTTATCCAAAAGAAGAGAGACTACAATCCCATGCCCAACGGTCCCCGACCCGTAGGCCCAGACTTCACCGACCCGAAAACCAGTTTTCCTGGAGGCTCAAAGGCCGAATGCGCAGAGAGAAACAAGTTTCTACAGATTCCAGTCTGTTTGCTTTCAGCTTGGTGACTGCTCACCCACGTGAGTGTGACTGACTGACTGCTTGCTGTTTGAGTT